GGTGGGGGTGGGGGGTAAGAGATCAACCAAAGGACTTTTATGCATGCATATAAGCATAACCAATGGACATAAGACACTGGGGGATAGTGGAGGCTAGGGGACTGTCTGGGGGGGGGGGGAAATGGACACATATGTAATACCCTTTGTAATAAAAAATTTAAAAAAATGGTCACAGGGATTTAAAGTAAAGCATAGGGAATATAGTCAATAATATTGTAAATACTTTGTATGGTGTCAGCTGGGTAGTAAACTTACTGAGGTGATCACTTCATAAGGTATACAAATGTCTAATTACTATGTTGTACACCTGAAACATATAATACTGTATGTCCAAAGTAATTGAAAAATAACTTTAAAAAAGAAAGATAGCTTAAGAATAGCTGAGATCAATGAAATGATTTTGTAAGCATAACTGACAATTGGTGGCCCAGTATTCACATGCCCAGAGTTTTATACGTTAGGCCAGTGATGGCGAAACTTTTGAGCTCGGCGTGTCAGCATTTTGAAAAACCCTAACTTAACTCTGGTGCCGTGTCACATATAGAAATTTTTTTATATTTGCAACCATAGTAAAACAAAGACTTCTATTTTTGATATTTATTTTATATATTTAAATGCCATTTAACAAAGAAAAATCAACCAAAAAAATGAGTTCGCGTGTCACCTCTGACACGCGTGTCATAGGTTCGCCATCACTGCTTTAGGCTGATCCCAGGCCAGACACAGCATCGCTTAGGAATCTCAGTCTTTACCTTCCATCTTGTGGTTATGGGATTCCCTTGGTGAATATTCTCTCAGAATGACTAAACTGCCTCTAAAAATATTACCACTTTCCATAAATTGTCTTTTCTGCATCATTTTATGAAATGTATGCAGTCCTCCTCAAATTCATTGAAGCCAGCTTTGTTTTGGTTTATCTAATATTACAACTGCTTTCAAATCTCTCTCCTGACCTGGTCTCTCATGCCCTCTGTTTCCCCCACATATAGCTGCCAAAGCAGCATTCCTACAGGCAAGCAGTAGCCTAGATGTCAGACAGTTTCCTGAGTTGTTTCACTAACATTAGCTCAATAACTAATAACTCCTAGACCCAGAAGTGGTAAAGCAGCTAACAGCAGGGACGGCCATTACAAATAAGCTCATTACCTAAGAAAAGTTTTCAGGAATGTTGTCACTTTGGTTTATAGGAGAGTCCAGGAATTAGGTTTGACTATTACAGATGTCTGGGATTCTTCTATTTCAGTGGAGTGGGCTTAGAGTTTGTTTAGAATGTCTGTGATTGTGCAGAAAATAGAAGGTATCCTTCAAACATGAAATTTCACAGGAATTTTGAGACTTGACTTTGACCCCCTCCACATGTGTTTTTTTTTTTCTAAGTGTCTTCTAATCCACAGGAACCACCTCCAGCAGCAACACAGTGGTTGCCGGCCAGGACAGTTTCCCAGACGCTGAGGAGGGCAAGATCTTGAAAGAGTCTGATGAGAGGTTGGTTCACAAATTGGCTTGATATCTAGTTTAACTGTAGCATATACAGAGGCATCAATAAAAATTTGTAGGCTTTATAAATTTCACACACATACAAATCTTTTATTCTTAGAAACTATGGCTGACTTGCTAACACTGCTCTGTATATCCCTGTAGATAACAATTTCTTCCCGAGCTGAACTCCACTTCTCTTAGGGCCGAACAAAAACCATGAGCTGTCCTGCTACCTGCAAAGACCATCTGGAATTAGAGGGAATTTTCATGTGAAATTTTCAAATCTGAGTACTGAATAATTTCTTGGAGACGGAGTAGTGGTCTTGAAGTGAATTCTATGAAACATCATCTTTCTTATTTCACCTTTACTTTGTCAGGTCTTGGTTTACCAAGAACACTATCTCCCTCTGCTCAAATAAGTCTTAATCTCCTTCCCATAGGCTGTTCGATAATATTTATTTTGCCCACATCTCTGCCTTTAGTTGCCCAGGACCTACTCAGAAGTAAATAAAATCTGGATCATTGTTCCCTAGTTGATTGTGAAGAGCAGAGACACAACCAAAAGAGATCAACAGGACTCAAATTAAAAAATTAGTATGATTCCATGGTGTTGAAAACACTTTAGAGCTGAGCAGTTTTTAGTGAAAAGGAATGGGGAGCACTTTCATTGAAGAAGTGAGTAACAAGGATGAGATACAAATTCCTATTGCAGGGACTGCAATGGATTAAATAATTAAAATACCTCAGCCCAGAATGCCCCTGCAGGCCTCATGTCTGTCCTCTGATTCTGTCCTGGGCATGACACAGGGCAGGGTCTACAAGTGGGAGAGTATCTGCCATGAGGCTGACTGCCCTGGAGTCCTCTGACCTATTAAATGCCTCAGCATGTGTGCTGCTAGATCACTGCCCTATTGCTGAATGATCCCTTGGCTCTTCATATGCTGTTTATGACTTTGCCTTTGTCAGAATAAATATTATTAAAGAATTTCAGAAGTTAATAGGTTGTCACTTTTTCAATTCCCTAGGTGTCAATTGTGTGGCCTGATTTGTATGAAACTAAGCAGATGTCCTTGAGTTTCTGTTTTATGGATTCACAAAGTAATAGCCCAAAAGTTAGGACAGTAAAGAATGTTCGAAATATAGAGTGACTGGGGAAAAGATGGATGTGTCAGGAGAAAAAAAAAAGCTGCTACAAGTATCTAAGAAGTGAATAAAACAAAAATCATTATAGTCTTTGCAGTCACTATAAATCTTGCATTTACTTATTTAGTCACAAATGTACACCTGGGACAGGGTAGGCTCATAATGGCACATCCAGCACTTTTTCCTGAAACATCACTCTTGCTCCATGCACTGGTGAGGACAGCTAAAATGAAACAGGGTGTTGACCTGCTGTCAATTAGTGCAAAATATACAGTCAGTAATGTAGGGGCACATCCTACTTTGGCTTGAGTTTTCCAGATATTTATTGATTACCTTAGTTGTTTGTTTTGGCTGCATACATATTAAGTAGATCACACCTGTTCTGTATCACTTTGTATAAAATAAATATAGACAAGCCATTTCCCCACACCCATACCTTTGCCCTGCCTTATAGGTCTCCAGATGATATTCAAATGCTATTGGTTTAAAAGTCTTTGGTGCCCTGAAGAGGAAAAAGTGTTCTAGAAATCTAGAAATAATTATTATATTATTATTAAATACTAGTAGCCCTGCGCACGAATTCGTGCATGAGTAGCTCGCTGCCATTTGCCTCAGCTGGCCGCCTGGCCCACCGCCGCTCGTAGCTCTCCGCAGCATGTAGCTCGCTGCCCCACCCTCTTGAGCTCCCCACTGCTTGTCGCTCACTGCCCTGCCCTCCTGCTGTTGGTCATTACGCATCATAGTGTAACAACCATTTGCATATTACCTCTTTATCATATAGGATAATAATTAGTACCTTAGATTTTGATGGTACCTCACAGTGTTGGAAACTTTCTCATATCATTCTTTTGATTTCTACAACCCCAACAAAATAAATGGTGAAGTATTATTAGTATCACTTTTTGGCAGGTGTAGAAACAGGGACCCCATAAAGGTAAAGAACTTGGCCAAGGTCATAGAGCTAGTGAAAGTTTGGTCCTAAAATCCCGTGTCTTGCCTTCTCTCATTGGAACCAAAAGCATTTCTGCGCTGCCATTGTCTTCTGCATGACACTGGGCAAGCTGTTTCACTTGGCCTGTTTCCTCATTCATAAAGTAAACGGTGCTTATGTCAAAGATGAGTAAGTGAGAGTAAATGAATAATGTATGTGAAGTTACTATATTTCTACCATTTTGGCGACAGTGGGGTGGGAGGGCGTTACTTCTTAATCCACAGAGAGACCAGACAGAAAGAGCCTCTCTGGTTATTTTACAGCCCAACTAGTTACCTTTTTCTAAAAACCCTCCAATCACCCTGGCTGGTGTAGCTCAGTTGGTTGAGTATTCACCCATGCACTAAAAGAAGATTGCCAGTGTGATTCCTGGTCAGGGCATGTGCCTGGGTTATAGGCTTGATCCCTGGTAAGGGGTGTGCAGGAGGTAGCCAGTTGATGTTTCTCTCTCACATTGATACATTGATGTCTCTCTCTCTCTCTCTCTCTCTCTCTCTCTCTCAAAACAATTAAAATCCATATTTTTTTAAAACCCTCTTATCATTTTAAGAGAACGTTTAAAGCCAGTAAAGTCCAAGATATATTATGAACCATTTTTTTATGTCTTGTCAATTTTCAATGTTTAATCATGCATCAGTTAGTTACTGACCACCTACCATCTGCCAGGCTACCATGTGAATAAGGGATGTATATTATTCAGTATCACTCAATTTCATTTCCAAACAAATGTTATAATTCTCCAGTTCAGTATAGCCTTAAAATGTTTATCTGTTCTAGGTTTAAACTATGCTTATGAGCAAAAGCAACCACTAGACCTCTCCAGGGAAAAATAAATGTTTGTGATACAATTTTTGTAGTATTTCTTTAGGAAAAGCATCATTGGAACTAGCTGCCAAAAACTCAATTACTAAATAATAGTATGTGTTTATGAAAATAGCACATACACACACAGCAGTATTTAATGATGGCTGTTCTTGTATTTGAAGGTTTAATAACGTCATCAGAGCCCATACTCGCCTGGAGTCAAGGTACAGCAATAGCTCTGGAGGGTCGTATGATGAGGATAAAAGTAAGTACCACCAGGTGTGGGGTTTCAAGTGGAATCCAGATGGTTGGAGAATGGAGTACGAGTATTTTTATTATTCTTATTCTAATTGCTAAAAAGGGCCCTATAAATATAAACAATCATTTAATCCCACTATGCAGATGAGCATAGAGTCAGCATCTGAAAATAATAAGAAGCCAAGCAGTGGACAAATTAAAATTATAAAAATTCAAATTTTTACCCAAATCTGTATTTTTTTATATTCTTGGCATTTTTTTCTTGGTAATGCAGTTGGGGAAAGGCTAGTAAAAAATTGTCTCATTAGATAACCAATATCGCAGTTATCGTGGGAGTGGATTTAATCTTTAAGCTTTGTGAATCAGTTCACCCAGAAAAGGGCCTTTTTCACACAAAGTCTCTCAAAAGCGTTGTCTTGGTAGCCAAATGAAAACCTTGATAAAATGGGAGATACAGTCATCACAGAAATGCATTTGTTCCTTGGGAAGTTGACAGAAACTGAAAAGCAATGCATTCACTGATTTTGTTGGAGCCCTGGACAGCATCTGTAGATACTGAGCAGGCAAAGAGTATTACTTGGTCACACACAAGTCACAGAAATTCTGGAATCAAGAACACTCCCAGTGGCATTTAGATATGCTAAGGAAATCAGTAAACTAACTGGTGGAGTTTATTTGTCTATTTTGGTGGAAATCGGAAATATGATGATATTTCCTGGTTTAGGTTTATTTTGAAAGTCAGTACCTGGGGCCTTTGTAGCTATCATTTTAAATTGTTCTGTTTTTATGGGGAATTTGCAGAGTGGGGTAAGAGATGAGTAGGCCTAATGGCACCACAGTTAAGCTGTTCTTCTTTACCTCTTACTGCATAGTTAGGAAATTCTCTGCCTTTCAAAATACCAATGGGAGAATTGTCCAAAATCCATACATAATTATCAAACTCTAACTTAGGTGAAGTTGCAGCTTTAAAACTTTTTACTAGAACCATTAGTTTTAGGTAAAATAAAGCTATTTGTGTTTTCCCTTCTTTCTGGTCCCACCAGGGTCTGTATCTGTGCCATCCAAATCCAACAGCCAAGTCTCCGGAGCACAGGCCGTGAGTTCGAGGAGGGACTAGATTTTACAGATGGGAGAATAGTACCAAGAAATGGAAAGTTGTTGGTTTAAGAAAAATCTGGTTACTATATATTTTGTAACCCAAAATTTGAGGACAGAAAAAATGAATCATGAAAATGTTAAGCAGTCAAATACTTCCCTAGTATGTGGCAGGTGTGATGTAACAAAAAATAACACACTCTGGCTGTAGAGTTTACATTGGGAATATCACTCTCCTTGGCTGATTCCTTTAAAATGTATCTCTTTGTTCTGGGTACAGGACACAGAATTTGGTAAAAATAATATACTAAAAATATCAATCATTTAAAAAAGATACCTTTACAGTCCTCTGGTAGTAACATCTCACATTCTTTATATTTATTAAATAGTGAATTGCGAAAGATGATTATATTAAAATGAGATGATAATTAACTCACATCACTAATTTTAGAGACAAAAAGAAAGAAGTTATAGAAGTATTTATAAAGAGAAAAAATGATAAGGAGTTCAGACAAGAAATTAAAAGTCTAATATTATCATTACTAGAACCCCAGTGCATGAAAATTCGTGCAATGAAGGGTGGGTCCCTCAGCCCAGCCTGCCCCCTCTCATAGGCCGGGAGCCCTCAGGGGCAGGAGGTGACCCAGCGATCAGGGGAAGGTGACGCCCCATCACACCTCTGCTGCTGCCACTGCCAGCAGCACAAGCCTCGGCCGGCCCTGGTTACCTGAGCCTCGGGCAGCACTGGACAGCTGGGCAGCCACCTTTTGAGGCTTGCCTCTACCTTGGGCCAGCCCTGGGGGGCTGAGGGGACTGGGCGCTGCCATCTTGTGGCTGTGGACTCCTTCATCTTTGAGGGTGGGGCAGTCAATTAGCATATTCTCTCCTTATTGGCTGTGGGCACTACCATCTTTGCAATAGCATGGGAGTCAATTAGCATATTCCCTCTTTATTAGATAGGACTAGAGGCCCAGTGCACAAAAATTTGTGCACTCGGGGGGATGGGGGGTCCCTCAGCCTGGCCTGTGCCCTCTTGCAGTCTGGGACCCCTCGGGAGATACCGCCCTGCTGGCTTAGACCTGCTCCCGGGTGGCAGAGGGCAGGCCCAATCCCTAGGTGCAGCCCCTGGTCGCGCTCAGAGCAGGGCCGATTGGGGGGTTGAGGCACCGCCCCCTGTCACACTCAAGGCAGGGTCAATGGGGAGGTTGTGGTGCCACCCCCTGTCACGCACAGAGCAGGGCCAATCAGGGGTTTGAGGAGCTCCCCCTGTCACTCAGAGAGTAGGGCTGATAGGAGAGTTGGGGCACTGTCCCCTGTCACACACAGAGCACGGCCGATCAGGGGGTTGGGGCGCTGCCTCCTGTCACACACAGAGCCGCAGGGTGATCAGAGGTTGGGGGAGCTCTCCCGTATCAGGCACAGAGCAGGGCTGATCAGGGGGTTTGGGCACTGCCCCCTGTCACGCTGATCCCGGAGCCGGGAGGCCTCTCGGCTCCGCTGATCCCGGTGCTGGGAGGCATATTACCCTTTTACTATATAGAATAGAGGCCTGGTGCATGGGTGGGGCTGGCTGGTTTGCCCTGAAGGGGGTCCTGGATCAGGGTGGGGGTCCCCACTGGAGGGCCTTGCCAGCCCGGGTGAGGGGATGATGGCTGTTTGCAGTTGGTCACACACCATTCAGGATGGGGGTCCCTACTGGGGTGCATGGCCAGTCTGGGTGAGGGGCTGAGGGCTGTTTTCAGGCTGGCGGGGGACGGAAGCTCCCAACCGCTCCTTTTTTTCTTTCTTGTTTTTAAATTCTGGGCCAGCTTTAGTTCTGAGGCTCCGGCTCTTAGTCTTCCGCTACTGACAGTAGGTAATCGAAACAATGTATAACTGCCCGCTCAGAGGCCTGCAGCAGCAGGCGGGGAACGTTGGAGTCCGCCGTCACTGAAGCAAGCAAGCCTCATGTTCAGTTTAAGCTGCCTGGCTGCTGGTCGCCATCTTGGCCGTCAGTTAATTTGCATATCTCACTGATTAGCCAATGGGAAGGGTAGCGGTCGTATGCCAATTACCATGTTTCTCTTTTATTAGTGCAGATGGCTTCTATTTTACCTAGAAATGTTTATAAATTTCTTATACCAATATAAAGAAAATGGGAAATTTTTGGTGCAGAATTTGAACCCAATTGAGTCAGTATCAATAATATTTTTTACATGATTACTGTTATTGAACAGAGAGATTAGAGTTCTAGCATGTAGTTTGGGTTCAGAGAGCTTTTACTTTTGGGTTACTCATTATAAGAGAAAATTAAATCAAGCTACTCAAACAGCTCTCATCACAAAAAGCCGTAAATTACATGTAGTTTGGGTTCAGAGAGCTTTTACTTTTGGGTTACTCATTATAAGAGAAAATTAAATCAAGCTACTCAAACAGCTCTCAACACAAAAAGCCGTAAAATACATACTAGGATTTTTTTTCCAGGTGTTCAAGTCATAGGACTTGACTTTGTCTGGAAGAAGCAGCATGTCTAATATGATAGGAATACTCAGAACTTTGCTAAATGGGTTCTCCCTGATATAATTTTGGTTCTATCTACACAACCATGGATATGGCCTATGCCACAAGAAAAGCAAAGTTTAGTAGGCTCATTTTCTAAAACCTTATACCTAGGCATCTGGTGTATGTTAAGGGCAATCATTTCCACCCAGAATTCCTAAGGGTATCAGCAGATCTGGGAAGACTAAGAAGGCAACAGGAGAGACCTAGTGGCCCAAAGCTTCATGGTATAAGCTGGGTTTATCCAAAAGGAAAGGCTGTGTGCAGTCTCTTTACATACATACATACATACATACATACACACACACACACACACACACACACACAAACTGATAGCACCTTGAGTAAAATGGACACCCTCATCTATAAAGCAGCTTTTTACCAATATTATGTAAGTTTTTTCTCCTGGCGTGTAGGAGAATTGGGCTATGCTTGGTCCTAGTGCATGTTCTTGTTCAGAGTCTCCATTTCACAATTACAGTTTTCATACACCCTCCTCCAGCTCTGCTAACCTTTCTACTCTGGACTGGCAGCATTGAATCAACCACTTCTCACCACCTTTCAAAAGTGCAACCAAGAAAAACTGTATTTGGGAGAAATTGCCTAAAGATTATGTCATTCATCCTTTCTCTTAATACACTAAAACCTGTGCCAGGATTAAGCAGCTTAACTGAAGCCACATACTTGGGCAGTACCAAGTGGACCCAACTGCCCTTGCTCTTAAATGCTCCTGGCCTATATGGAGAGTGTTATAAGAAATAACTCCATGAAACTTGTTGCTATGTTTATGTTATAGTTGAGGACATTCATTCATTCAAAAATATTTATTAATTCTCTACTAAGTGCCAGATACTGTTCCAGGTAACAGGGAAACCAATAATGGAAAAATAGAGGAGGTCCCACCTAGCTCTTTAGAGCTAGCGAGGCAGTCATTGGTGGTGACTATGATCTGTGTCCCAGAAGAAAACTAATGCAGGGCAAGGGGACAGAAAGTGATTGGGGCAGGGGTTAATTCTAGTGGAGTGGCCACAGAAATCCTCTGTGATCAAGTGGTATTGGGCAGAGTCATGCATGACGTAAAGGACCAAGCCACTCAGCTAATGAGGAAGAGCTCTGCAATCCCAAGGAACAGTAGATGCAAAGGCTCTGAAGCTGCACAGTGCCTCGCATGGTCACAGAGCAGCAAGAAAGCCAATATGATGGAGTGGATTGAGCAAGGGGGTGGTAGTGGGAGAGAGGCCTAGGAGGAACCAGAGGAAGATCTTGTAAGGCCTAAAAGGCCATGGTATAGATTTTGGATTTCATTTTGAATGTGAAAGGAAGCCACTGGAGAGGCTTAAGTAGAGAAAGGCACATGAATGAACCTCTGTTTTT